GAGTTGGAGGGCAGGTTGCTAGGCAAACCTCCATGCCCAGTGCCCAGTTTCTATCTGGATTTCACTTTTTGCTTTGCTGGGGAGATAACTTTCTCAATTCCTACTTACGTATTCTCTGGTATCTGAGTCTATGTAGAACACTAAAATTACAGTTGTAACATTCACTGTAGCCAGGATGTTGATTTAGGTTGGTGCAAAAGTAATATTTGAGGTGCAAATTACATCTCTTTCCCTTACCGGTTCTGAAGCAGTTAGTAAACACATGCAAAAATCTGGTAAGTTCAAAATGTCAGCTTTTTGCTAGAAGTTGGTTTGGAGACTGGCTGGGGCCTGAACATAAATTGGGCTTCCTAACACATCCCCCTGAACTGGAAAGATTTACCCAGCCACTGATAAATGATAGGCCTCTCCCTAAGAAAGCAAGAGCTTCATGTGTCGCCAGCAGGCTGTTTAAGAAAGAAAGAGTGGGCCAGGCCCGTAGCTCATGCCTATAATCCCAGCACTTTGGGAGGCTGAGGCGGGCAGGTCACGAGGTCAGGAGATCGAGACCATCCTAGCTAACATGGTGAAACCCTGTCTCTACTAAAAAAAAATTCAAAAAATTAGCCAGGCATGGTAGCGGGTGCCTGTAGTCCCAGCTACTTGGGGGACTGACGCAGGAGAATGGTGTGAACCTGGGAGGCGGAGCTTGCAGTAAGCTGAGATCACACCACTGCACTCCAGCCTGGGGGACAGAGCGAGACTCCATCAAAAAAAAAAGAAGGAAGGAAGGAGAGAAAGAAAGAAAGAAAAAAAGAAAGGAAGGAAGGAAGGAAGGGAGGAAAGAAAGAAGGAAAAGGAAGGAAGGGAGGGTGGCTAGGCATAGTAGCTCATGTCTATAATCCCAGCACTTTGGGAGGCTGAGAGAGGATGATTATTTAAGGCCAGGATTTCAAGACCAGCCTGGGCAACACAGTGAGACCATGTCTCTTTAAAAAAAAAAAAAAAAAAAAACTGGGCACAGTGGTGCATACCTTTAGTCCCAGCTACTCAGGAGGCTGAGGTGGATGGGTTGCCTGAGTCCAGGAGTTTGAAGCTGCAGTGACCTATGATGACGCCACTGCACTTCAGCCTGGGTAACAGAATGAGACCCCATCTCAAAATGCAAGAAAGAAAGACAGAAAGAGAGAGAGAGAGAGAGAGAAGAAAGAAGAAAGAAGAAGAAAGAAGAAAGAAGAAGAAAGAAGAAAGAAAAGAAAGAAATAAGCAAGCCAAAAATGGGGCAAACTACCCTTGCTCAGCATTCTGTGCCCCTACCTTTTTTCATACCAATACTTCCATAAAATAGCCATTTTTATTTTATAAACAGTTAGAAATGAGAAAAGAGGACAAAACTGTTAAAAAAAAAAAAAAAAAAAACAGCTCCTCCCATCTTGTGCCCTTCCTCCTGCTCTTTGCTCCTGAGGTCACATCTCTCAGAACGCACTGTGCCACCCTAGCACCCTGTCCTCCCTGCCCAGCTGTCACCTAGGGTGTGAAGTCTCCATCTGAATGTAGAAAGTTATGTAGGTGAAGGGATAAGAAGGAGCTGTTCTTAGGCTCTGTCATAGATCAACACCCAAGGAGTAGGAAGGGAGATCGCCCTGAGTTTTGATCAGTGCAACCCCTGTATCTCTGAAAAAAGAAGACAACCAACAGAGATTCACATTCTCTTTTACCAGATGGTCTGTTTCTTCAAGCAAATCCTGGCATTTCTATGAACTCAAGTCTTGTGGGTTTTCTTCAGTCTAGATTTATCTGCCTTATAAATGGCAGCATTGTATTGTTTATTAAACTTTTGGTCATTTTTACAAGTTTTAATCTTTTTCTATACCTTCACAAGTTGCTGCTTGAAGCTAAAGAGTTTGTTTCCTTTTTCATAATAGCATCCCTTCCAATGATATCATCCCACCTGTGGCCACTTCCTCCTAGTTCTCTTTCAATCTCTGGCCACTCCTTTTCCATCTTATTGACAAAATTCATTTATGATGCTCTTTTCTGGATGTTTGCATAGCCTGGGGCATGGTTCTATGCTTTAGTCTCTTGTTAGTCCACCGTTTTTCCTACTTGATCTCATCTAGTTCAATGGCTTCAATTATCACATAATACTTGAGGCTGACTTCCAAATATATAATTCTACCCAAATGGCTTAGTCTGTTCAGGCTGCTATAACAAAATACCATAAACTGGGTGGCTTATAAACAACAGGAATTTATTTCTCAAAGTTCCAGAGGCTGGGAAGTCCAAAATCAAGGTGCTGGCACATTCAGTATCTGGTGAGGGCCTGCTTTTTGCTGTGTCCTCACATGGTAGAAGGGGCAAAGATATGCTTTTGAAACCTCTTTTATAAGTGCACTAACTGCCCCCACAAAGGCTCCACATCCTAATACTCTCATAATTAGGGACTCAGTATCAACATATGAATTTAGGGAGGCAGGGGACATAAACATTCAATCTATAGTACCAAACCTGTCTCTCCTGAGCTCCAGACCAATATTTTAAACCACTTACTAGGCAATATCCTCACCTCTGCCTCATTATCAACTGACCAAAAACAAAATCATCATTTATCTCCCAAACTCGCTCCATTTCCTTTGTTCTCTAATTTAGTAACTTGTCCCTCCATTAATTCAGCTAACCAAGCTAAAATTGTGATTATATTCCTTATCTCATGTATTCAACTAGTTACTAAGTTCTATTAATTCTACCCTCCTAACATCTTTCAGGTATCCTTAGAGCAAGCTTGTCCAACCCATGACCCATGAGCCACATGTGGCCCAGGATGGTTTTGAATGCAGCCCAATACAAATTCAAAAACTTTCTTAAAACATTATGAGTTTTTTTTGTGATCTGTTTTAACTCATCAGCTATTGTTTGTGTTAGAGTATTTTGTGTGTGGTCCAACATAATTCTTCCAACGTGGCCCAGGGAAGCCAAAAGATTGGACACCCTGCTTCAGAGCCCATATTAGTTTAAGTGTTTTTTGGTTTTTTTTTGTCATAAACTGCAGAAATGAACCCTAAGAAAATAAAGGATTTATTTGAAAGACTATTAGGAAAGCTCACAGAACTGAAGGGAAAATTTTATAGTCATGTTTTAGGAAGGACTAGATCGGGGCAGCTCTGGGGCCCTTGGCAGGTAGAGGTCAGAGCTCAGAGTCTTCTAGCCTGGGACACCACATGAGGTGGCTCAGGTGCAATCATCTTTCAGCTCTGTGTGTCTTTATCAAACTTTCAAATTCTTAGTATAACCTGGTTGGTCACCTTTGAATCCGTCATCTAGGGCTGGGAGACAGGAGTGAATGGCACTAATTTGTGATGGCTATAGACCCTTGTAATTTCTCAACCCCTCCTCAGTACTGTCATAGACTTCTCAAGGACCTCTTTTCATCTTTCCAATGTCTAGTTCTTGTGTCTTTCCAATCTATAGTTCACACGCCACTATTTTTGTATTTCTAAAATATATATTGTTCAATAAGGAGATTATATCTCATTTAAAATCTCCTGATAGCTCTTCATTACTCAGAATAATCCACAAACTTCCTATCAGATAGTTCATTTTCGGATTTGGATCCTGTCTACCTCTCTAGTCTCACCTCTTACTACCCTTCCCCTAAATCTTATGTTCCTGGCGTACTGCAATTACAGTATTTTCAATTCCCCTAAATAAGCCAGGCTTTGTTGTATTCTCATGTTTTTGTCTGTGCTTCTCCCTCTTTCTCAAATGTCTGTTCTCTCACCACCTGGTTAATTCACACTCAATCTTCCCCAGCTCAGTTTAGGCAGTAGTTCCAAATCTCTCCCAGTCTCTTCTCAGTCTGGGTTAAGTCCCCTTCCTCATTCCTTCCATAGTACCCTAAACTTAGATCTAATTTGGCATTCCACTCTGTTGCAATCAATCGTTTCTTTTTTCTTTTTTTTTTTTTTTTTTTGAGACGGAGTCTCTCTCTGTTGCCCAGGCTGGAGTGCAGTGGCCAGATCTCAGCTCACTGCAAGCTCCGCCTCCCGGGTTCACGCCATTCTCCTGTCTCAGCCTCCCGAGTAGCTGGGACTACTCCCAGCTACACGGGAGGCTGAGACTACAGGCGCCTGCCACCTTGGTCGGCTAGTTTTTTGTATTTTTTAGTAGAGATGGGGTTTCACCGTGTTAGCAAGGATGGTCTCGATCTCCTGACCTCGTGATCCGCCCGTCTTGGCCTCCCAAAGTGCTGGGATTACAGGCTTGAGCCACCGCGCCTGGCCTCAACCGTTTCTTTATCTCTCTTTCTGGCTAAACTGTGAGCTCCTAAAGGAGCTCAAGAATTACATCTAATTTATGTTTTGTTCTCATCACCTAGGAGAGTGTCTAATATGTCATAAATGTTCAGCAAATATATTTAAATAAGCAAATACTGGTTTTGAATGCATAAGATACAAAGCACTTGGTGGGGGGGCAAAAATATGTTTAAATTTTACATTTCCACTTTTAAGGGACTCACAGCTTAAGAGGCAGACAAGACCCACACAAAAGAAAAGTGCAAGTAGAGCTACAAGATACTATACAATGACATGCACAAAACCCAATGACTATAGTCTAGAGTTTGGGATTGCATTAATCTAGAAAATCTTCTGTTTAAAGGAGTGACCTGAGTAGTAACATAAAGAAAGAAGATTCAGGGCTTGGCGTGGTGGTTCGCACTCCAACCTGGTGACAGTGCGAGACTCCATCTCAAAAAAAAAAAAAAAAAGAAGAAGAAGAAAATTCAAATGGCTGAAGAGATTGGGGACAGCATTTTGAGTATGGGGAATAAGAAAAAATGCTCACTGTTTTTGAAGAATGCAGTGAAAACATTGGCTTAGGTAGAGGTAGATTAAGAGATGGTGAAGGGGTGTGTGTGTGTAGGGAAGTCATAAGCTGGAAAAATAAGAAATTGACAGATTTTGTTTAAGTATGCCTTTAAGTTTTGGCCTTTTCATTCTCTGTCTCCAACACAGAACACATCAGTATTCTAGATTGCCTATTCATCACAAATTCTGTCTCCTCCAGAATCCAGGAAAGAATAATTAAGATATTTTCAAAATGGAAAGTTCTCATGCCAAAGATTTTTGCCTTCTTCACCATACTATGATTTCCTGATGTTCTTAAAGGTAGTGTTCACCAGGTTTTTCCATTCTTATTTTGAATGTAGTTTTTGTGTTTGTGTGACTTGTTTTTCAGCCTGGGCTGCAGACTAACAACCCAGGACTTATACTGACCAATTTGACAGCTCATTTTTATTTTAGTTTCAACATATACCTGAACTAGACTTACAATTCCAGAAAAATTAAAGGTGAGAAAAGGGTGAAAAGCTTATTAGTCTATTTCCCTAGAAGGGAACTTTAAGTGTTTAGCCCAGTCTTGTCCTAAACTCTAGAAATCATCTTTAGGGTTTGTCTAGACAATCAAGTTAGACATAAACCCCTCTCTATGGGCTTTCCACTAAACCTGTGGGCTTCGTAGGAACTTGGGCTGATGTAGGTCTTTTCAAAGTTCTACTTAATTGTCAAGGCCCCTATGATGTGATTCCATTCTACCTACCTGCTTTTATTTCTTCCTACTTAACAACAACAAATAACCTTCCAATTAGACTACTTCATATACCATCCTGTGAGGTTCTGCTCAAGCTCCACATCCTTTAGGAAACATCTCCAAGGCTCATTGACTTTTCTTTTCTCTAAATGGTAGGTTCTACCTTATCAGCTTGTATCTTCCATTTCTAATGGTCTATATCAAAAAGTATAGCAATCCTCCCACCCCCAATATATACACACACTTTCCCCAGGTTCTCAGGCCTAATCTATGGATGAGCATGCCTTTGTTGAGAGGAGAAGAAAATTGAAAGATGGCTGCTTCTCCACCTTTAGCCTTCTACAGACACATGTGAATTAATTTTATTCAGATCTTTTTCTATTTAAATCTCATCACTATCATGGAATTAGAATGTCACCTTTAAATCATTTAGTTAATACTTTCCGTTCTGCAGATAAGGAAATTGAGACTCCAAGAGATAAAGTGACTTACTTAATATATGAGCATGTATTTGTCATTATTGCTTTACATTAGATAATTGCTTTCTCCCACCTCCCCCCATTTGTCAAATAAACTTAACTTCTAAGAGCAAGCATCACATGTCTTGTGAATTTTCTACATCTACAATAGCACATATTAGTCTTTTCTTGTTTCCCATACAGGCTCAAGAATGGGGCTGAGTACACGCTGTGTGCTAAGCAAAGAATATTTGGATTGAATTGAAGGCCTGCAGAACGTGGACTATTCAGAGACACTGAATTTGGCCTTGGGTGAATACCTGCCTTGGGTTGGCCAACTAGCAGTCAACAGCAATGAGCCAAAAGAGACAAACCAAGTATGTAGTCTTGTTTGCCCAACTAAGTTATAAATATCACTTTATATTAACTTATTGCATAGCCCACAGCACTTTGAATGGGGCTGGTCACAGAGTAGACTATCATTAAACATATTTTAATTGACTGGTTGTTCCTGGATCAAAAACCAGATCTTGGTCTGTACTTCATGCAACAACTAAAGGAGCTTTTATCAAAAAGAAAGCACCAGCTTGTTCCAGATGGATGCTGTTGGGCTAAAGAAGGGCTTTTCATATAGTTCTATGCCTTAAATTGGCCCTGAAGAAGAGTGTCCGAGATTCTGTGCTTCCTTTTAGGTATCAAAGAATCATTTTGAAAAGTGCTACAATAAATATTATATTGTATTACTAATTATTAGATAACAATGCAATAAGACCATTTAAAAGGGCACAAACTTTAAGATGTTAAGTTGGGATAAATTTTGGTCTCTCCATCATGTGTCACCTACTCCACTTGCGACCATTTTTAAGACCTCTGACCTGAGTTAATGGTACAACTGGTGGCCAGCAACAGATGGAAGATAGCCATCCTTGAACGGGATTTAATCATGGATTTGGGGATTATTTGTAGCATGCTATAGCCAGTTGACCTACAAACTACATAGTTTGGCTATTTCTACCTTTATTTTGGTCCTTATTCTGCTATCCTCATTTTTAAAGGAGAGAGGTCTAGTTGAGATAGTTGCATAATTCTTAATTTGAGCTAATTTAACCCCCCAATGGAACTATCTCCAAGGAAGAAGCAGGCCATTCATCTTAATCATTAACCAAATCTTACTGAGGAGTATTTTACATTATGTTCTGGCAGCAAATGGGTTTAAAAAGAATAGCAAAGAATAGAATCTGTTTCACCCTATTTTCTGCAAAGAGAATTGGTATTAGGGTGAGGGTAAAAGAGCAGAGTACAGAAATATTTGCCATTGTTGATTATTTTTACTACCCTAGTTCTAAGAAGAGAAGTCTTCAGAGATGTGGTTAGGAAGACACGAGAGCCAGTAATCCAAGCAAGGTCAACAAGAATTGGAAACTTAGTTGTGTGGTTCTATTAACTATATTCCTTCTCACAGATTCATTGGCTAATCATTGGCCAATCACTGGCAAAAGTAGGGCAATTTCCATGTGGAAGAAGAATAGGCAGGTAAATATTCAAAACAGTAGGTGGTTTTTAAGGGTATTGTGAGGATCTAACTGCCCAAAATAATTTCCTTAAGCAGTCTGTTAGAGCACTTCTGTGAAAGGTCTAAAATCCTTATTTTTAGAAGAAACCAACTCAATGGATGCCATTGAGTCATCCAAAAGGTGCCACTTGTTTAACTCGCTAAACTGAAGTCTTGCTTTTCCCTAGCATGCAGGCTGGATAATGAGTCCAGTTTTTTTACTACTTAGTCAATTAGTGATGTGGTCACCTAAATTGGACTTGTCTGAGTCAGGCCTCCAAACTTCGTTGAGGGAGACTGACAAGATGCAGAATGCCAGGCCTCTGAGCCAGAAAGTGCAACCGGATGTTCTGCCTCTTTTTCAGGTTTCAAAACGGCAAATCAAAGACATCAGAAAATAGCTCAGCTAAACGTGAGAAAGGAATGGTTGTCAATGGCAAAGAGGTAAGGAGCGTTATTAAGTGTTCAATGTTTAATTTTTCTGTGGAGTTGCTTAGTGTACTTAGTAAGCTGGGTGTCACAAACTTTCCTATTGAAAAGCATAAAGGAGTAAAAATGTATGTAGAAAACAAGGTTAACTTGTCAAATGTTATTAAAGAGAAATAGAGCACAGAAAAAGAAGGAACAGGACACATCGGCAACAAATTAGGACATAAAACCCAGGAAGCAGAAACCTATCTTAGGGAGTAAGAGCATGTTAAACCCTAACTTATGCAGACTTTAAACTACCTCTTGTAGCAAAACTCCAATGGGTATCTTGGTTGTTTTCCTATGTTTACCACATTCAAGTGAATTTTCCAGGCCAACTTTTATTTAATCAGCCACAGATAGTGAAATTCAACATAACAAAACTAAAAACACATTCCAATTTGGACAATCTTGTGGGTTTAGTCAACTGCTAGAGGCTAATTTGGAACAGATATGCAATACTTCAGAAAACTTCAGGAGTAAAAACATTTTCACCAGGGACTTTCTCCCTAAAATTATTTAAAAAAACAAAAAAAAACCAAAAAAACAAAAACAGAAAAAAACCTATAAAGGAAAAGGTCTTCATACCTTTCTCCCAAATAAGTTTTTGCTAATTCTATGACTCTAAATATGTCATACATTTCATAGTTGTAAAGCAGGTTTTTCATAATATATTTCTGTTTTCAACAAATGAATTTCAGTTTTCCATAAGGTGGTAAAAATTGAATAATTGAGTCTTTGGATCCATCCCACCATCTCATAGTTCATCCCACCCTCTCTAAAGGAATTTGTGGAGTGGCTTTGCTATGCTTTTTCCTGCTCCTTTTCCAACTGCCAAGAATTGCCAACTTCTGGCCTTTTCTTCCCGGAGCATAGCAGGATCTCCTCTTACCTCATAGTTCTGTCCCATTCTGACTGCTTCCCACTTCTCCATTAGCCCTCTTGCTTTATTCACTTTTCAGTGCATGTTCCCTTTCCTCTGTACACACCTTACCATACTACCTCCTGATAGGGGAGGTATGACAATCTTTAGAAATGCTGAGCCAGGCTGGGTGTGGTGGCTCACACCTGTAATCCCAGCACTTTGGGAGGTCAAGGTAGGAGGATCACTTGAGCCCAAGAGTTAGTCAACACAGTGAGAGCCCTATCTCTACAAAAAATTAAAAAATAGGCCAGGCATGGTGGCTCACGCCTGTAATCTCAGCACTTTGGGAGGCCAAGGCAGGTGGATCACTGGAGGTCAGGAGTTCGAAACCAACCTGGCCAATACAGTGAAACCCCGTCTCTACTAAAAATACAAAAATTAGCCGGGTGCGGTGGTGGGAGCCTGTAATCCCAGGTACTCAGGAGGCTGAGGCAGGAGAATTGCTTGAACCCAGGAGGCAGAGGTTGCAGTGAGCCAAGATCATGCCATTGCACTCCAGCCTGGGCAACAGAGCGAGACTCGATCTCAAAAAAAGAAAAATAAATAAGCAAATAATAATAATAGCTAGGCATGGTGGCACGTGCCTGTAGACCCATCTATTTGGGAGGCTGAGGCGGGAGGATCACTTAAGCCCAGGCGTTCAAGATTACAGTGACCTATGATTGCACCAATGCACTCCAGCCTGGGGGACAGAGTGAGACCCTGTCTTTAAAAGAAAAAACAAACAAAAAAAGAAAAGAAAAGAAAACAGAAATGCTGATCCAAACACAGGATTATGAGGCACTCTTCTTTTTTTCTGATTTCTGATTATGCCAAGCCAGAAGAAGATAATTCAGAGCTTTTATCTCCTTGTATTCCTATCTCCTTGATTCATCCTTAGACAGGGCTATGCAAGAGGAGAAGCAAGAACACTAGGTCAGCAGAAAGGGAATGGAAAAGGCTCAGCTCCTCTACTACCAGATATGGCACTCAAATAATCCACTAACATCCAGGACCACCACTAGCAAAAAAAAAAAAAAAAAAAAAAAAAAGCAAAGTGCTAGACAGAAGTGTTACCAAAATTCAATTCCTTTTTGCAACATTTCTGAAAGAATTTCATACTGCAGAGATGTTCAAAATTGCAACATGCACTGCTCTTCCTTTCTCTGTGAGTAGGCTGACTGCCAGCTCAGTTGGCAGAGTTGACCCAATGGCTCCCTTGCACCCATAACTTTTAGGTTAATGCCCTTATGAAACTTGCTTTTCTCCTTAAAGATTTGTCCTCCGTGTTGATTTTCACCTCATTTCACTCCTATAGCTATGGAAAAGGCAAAAGAAAGAGGTGACTCCTTGGAAAGATTTGTCCCAGTCTGAACTGATGCTGCCCTACTCTACTTCCCCTCCTAACGGCTTTCCCTGACATTTCATAAGGCTGGCCCCATTTCCGCTGACAAGTGTCACGGTCAGGAGGTCTTAGAATCCAGGTCTCCTTGCTGGGGCCCTTGTTCTGGAAACCTAGAGTACAAAACCTGAAGCACACTGTACTTCTCACTTAGTGTAAGTTAGACACCAGTTCTCTAGTGAGACTAAGGTGAGGTAAGGAATGGAATACTGTTTAGGATACGTGCAACTTCAAACCACTAACTTTGATTATCCTCTTTAGATTTATGATGCAGTCGGGCGATCAAAATTTGTTCTAGAAAACCTTCGGCATTACACAGTCCATCCAAATTTGGTAGGTAGAAAAAGCATTCCCCCAAGATCTCTAAGGGGAAGTTTCAGCAGTAGTGCAGATGCCCACTGCGAGTGTCCCTAATGCCTCCAAGTGTCCCTGGCTTCTATGAGTGGGCATACTCTCAGGACAGGCAGGCAGAGCTGCATCTGGGTTACAATGCCAGAGGCAGTGCTGAGGATTGGGGTGGCAAAGTGGGAGACAAGAACTGGGAAGAAAGTGGGTCCCCACCGCTGATTTGTTTTAAGTTGAGAAAACATATTTATCACTAGGAAAAAAAATATTTATAATCCATTTTCTCCCTTTCACTTCCTTCCTCCCTAACCCTCTGCCTTTCTCCTATTGAGTGAAAGGCAAATTTAGTGGGAATTCCCCTTCTTCACCCATACCTTAAGTGACATGCTATCTTTTGTGGCTGCTTTTCCTTTAACATTGTGCTTGTGAGTGCATGTCAATGTGGTTGGGCCTGAGAAATGTTGATGTGTGGGAGACGTAAATATGGGAAGGTGTTGCACTTGGCTGTGCCTACTCCTGAGGAATTCCTTGAGCAAGATTTGGTCCTTGGTAGCTTTCCCCCTGTACCTTAGAGAGAGTTGTAGAGACAAGGCCAATTCGGTTTAACCATGTAGAAACTTCTCTGCTTGTCCCATTATATTGGAAGAATTAAGTTACCTGACTCCTTTTACCATGGAAACCTTTCCATCGCATTGCCCCAGCCCCTTAGTGTATTTTCAGGGGAATGCCCCAAGGAAAGAGAGGGACTGAGAACTTCAGATAGTTTCTGATAAACACATTTTAGGGCTGCGTGTGATGACTCACTCTTGTAATCTCCATACTTTGGGAGGCTAAGATGGGTGCATTGCTTGAGCCCAGGAGTTTGAAACCAGCCTGGGAAACATGGCAAAACTCCATCTCTACAAAACAAAAACAAAAACAAACCCACAAAAATCAGGTGGACAGGGTGGCATGTGCTTGTAATCCCAGCTACTTAGGAGGCTGAGGTGGGAGAATCACTTGAGCCTGGGAGGTCTAGGTTGCAGTGAGTCATGATCATGCCACTGTGATCCAGCCTAGGCACCAGAGTGAGACTCCGTCCCAAACAAAACAAAACAAAACAAAAACAAAAACAAAAACAAAAAACCCCACAAATTTTGCAGCAAGTTTGTCCAACTTCTGTTCTTACCTCACAGAAGCTAAGTATTAGCCAACCGATTTGTTAACCTGCTCTTGGCCTAATCTCTTTTTCTCTCTGGAAACTTTTCTGTCTGTTCAGGCCCAGTACTATAAGCCTCTGAAGGCCACTGCACTGCAGAAATTCCTGGCTCAAAACAAGAAAACCACCAGCTTCATGTTAAAAGTAACAGAGTATGACCAGGATAAGACCTTACTGATTATGACCAACAACCCACCTCCCTGCTCAATCACCCATCAAGACAAGGAGAGTGCACCCAAATACTTTTCCAAGGAGTTACTGCTCAAGGTCATGGTAAGCAGAAGCCTCCTGAAACCCAAAATGTGAACCCTGAAGAATTAGGAGTTAGCATTGAGAAGGAAGCTAACTTAACATGAAGAATAGTACTCAGAAAACCAACTCTTAATTTGTTTGTTTGTTTGTTTGAGATAGGTCTCACTCTGTCACCCAGGCCGGACTGCAGTGGCAAAATCATGGCTCACTGAAACCTCAACCTCTTGGGCTCAAACAATCTTCCCATCTCAGCCTCCTGAGTAGCTGGGGCTACAGGTGTGCACCACCATGCCTGACTACATTTTTAAAAAACTGTTTTTGTAGAGATGGGGATGTCACTATGTTGCCCAGGCTAGTCTCAAACTCATGGCCTCAAGTGATTCTCCAGCCTCGGCCTCCCAAAGTGCTGGGATTATAGGTGTGAGCCACTGCACTTGGTCTATCTCTTCCTTCTTATTCCTGATCCTATGCTTCACAAAACAGCATCTGGAGAATCTGGGATTCAGAATTCAATAAGCTTGGGTTCTGAAACTTCATTGCAGGGAGAAAATGGGGTCTTCATTGGAAAGTGTTCCTCTTTGGTCAAAGATATTTAATTTGTAACTAACAAAGGGTAGACTAGCCACTGACTTTCTAGTTGAGAATAAAGTAGTAAAAGATGAGTCAGGAAATGAGGAATAAAAACGGTGATGAATATGTAAATGGGAAAGGAGTAAAGAATGATGCTTTGGTACACATTACTTTCGGGTTTCAGAGAAGGGAGTTTACCATCACAGTAGTCAAACCTTTGAAACTCCTTTATAGACTAAAGAAGCTCAAATTCCATTCAACAAGCAATTGCTAAGGATACAGTAAGCTAAAAACCAGAATATAAAGATGATTACAGGACAGTTTCTATCTTAAAGGAACTTGGAGTCTAATAGGAGAGAGATCAATAAATGAGATATGTAAAAGTAATAGAAGAATATACAAAATACGGAAGTAATGTAGAATACAGTATTTCTGTTGGGAAAAAGGGAGTGAGTAGGGAAGTGACCCATGACAAAAGAACAGGAAAATATCAAATCAGAGGAAAGTGCAAAGGCATGAAGACATGGGAAAATGAGGTGTATTCAGGAAGATGTAAGAGAGAAAATGGCAGGGCTATGTGCAGTGGCTCACACCTGTAATCCTAGCACTTTGGGAGGCCGAGGCGGGCAGATCACTTGAGATCAGGAGTTTAAGACCAGCTTGGCCAACATGGTGAAACCCCATCTCTCCTAAAAATCCAAAAATTAGCCATGTGTGGTGGTGCATGCCTGTAGTCCCAGCTGCTCAGGAGGCTGAGGGAGGAGAATCGCTTGAACCTGGGAGGTGGAGGTTGCAGCGAGCCGAGATAGTGCTATTGCATTCCAGCGTGGGCGACAGGGCGAGACTCCATCTCAAAAAAATAATAATAATAAAATAAAAAATTTTAAAAAACAGAGAGTAAATAGCAGGAGACAAAAAGATGTAATCAAACAAATTTGCATTTTAGGAAGACTGTTTTGGAGGTTGAAGAAAGGTGCATTAGTAATTGTGGAGGAGACAAAACCCAGAAAGATAAGTTATGATGTTACTAAAATAGTCAAGGTGAGAGATACTGAAGACTTGAACTACGTCATTAGCGAGGAAGTAGAGAAAATTGAATTAAGAAATATTTAAGAATCAAAACCTGGCTGGGCACAGTGGCTCACGCCTGTAATCCCACCACTTTGGGAGCCTGAGGCGGGTGGATCACGAGGTCGAGAGATCCAGACCATCCTGGCTAACATGGTGAAACCCCGGCTCTACTAAAAATACAAAAAATTAGCTGGACGTGGTGGCGGGCGCCTGTAGTCCCAGCTACTCAGGAGGCTGAGGCAGGAGAATCACTTGAACCCAGGAGACGGAGGTTGAGGTGAGCCGAGGTTGCACCACTGCACCCTAACCTGGGTGACAGAGCGAGGCTCCATCTCAAAAAAAAAAAAAAAGAATCAAAATCTAAAAAAGGTCTTGATGGCCTCAAGAGCGGGTCTAATCTAACAAGAATAAATTAAATAAATGAGTTAAGTGAAAGTGCAAACAAAGGATTCTAGCAGAAATTTTATGCTGGGCATGGGATTACCCAAGTGAGACCCTTATAATAAAATGCGGTGAATTTGGGGTTAGTGTTTCCATAGTTGCTAGATGGATGACAGTGAGAGATTCTCCTTCAAGTGGAAGATAAAATGCTAATATCCAAGGGCATATACTAACAAAGGAGTTAATGAATTTACTGCATGTGGTCTCTTAGGTCTCAGAATTTGTGCCCTTTTAAGGTAAGCTCAGTGGTAGTTTCTCATGGCAGTGGGGTGAACCATACATTGAGAAAGCGATAAATGCCAGGCCAGGATTGCCCTGCTTAATGTGCAGAAGGAAATACAAAGCTATCATGTAAACTGGGTGCAGGAAGAGCTTTCTTCCAATAGCCTGTGCACTCTGTGAACCCTCCAGTTCAGATGCGGAACCTAATCATATTGATGAGGAAATTGTGGTACCAGTTAAATTGTACTAATGGATAGAGTTAAGGCTCAAAGACCAGCACCATGGTACTTTTATGGGGCTATCTGACTGGAACAAGCCCAAGAAGATTGAAACGTCAGATATCTACCATGCCTCTTTAATATTCCTGCGGCATCCTTTCCTTCCCTTGATGGACAAATGTGATAATCTTTTGTAAACCTAGAATCATATACAAGAAAAACATTCTTTGCTATGCCCAGGTATGCATCCAAAAAGAGAGTGAGTTCTAGTAGGCAAGTTGTGGAATGTACTAGATAGATCTATTACAGTGATTGTTATACTAACAGTCCCTTCTAAGTGAAACTGACCCTACCACAGTCTCCTGAGTAAGGGAACATCCTAAGAAGTTCTAGTTGGTACAGTATAACCCTGTCCCCACTCCTAGCTGAGACCAGAGGAGAATATGAGACCAAGCAAAGCAAACTTCATAGGCTGGGTAGTGACCTGTGATGTGGATTGGTACCCTAAAACCAAAACAAACAAAAAACACATCAAAACAAAAACCAACCAACCTACCAACACCCAGAATCCCTGAGCTAATCAGATTCTTGTTTCCAGGCCTCTGAATTGAGAAATGAAAAGATTGAAGCAGTAGCAATGAAAGCTGAAAGGACACATAGAGTGGGACTAGAAAAGCCTCAAACTGGCCTGGCGTGGTGGCTCACACCTGTAATTTCAGCACTTTGGGAGGCCGAGGCGGGCAGATCACGAGGTCAGGAGATTGAGACCATCCTGGCTAACATGGTGAAACACTGTCTCTACTAAAAATACAAAAATTAGCCGGGCGTGGTGGCACATGCCTGTAGTCCTAGCTACTCGGGAGGCTAAGGCAGCGGAATTGCTTGAACCTGGGAGGTGGAGGTTGCAGTGAGCTGAGATTGCGCCACTGCAGTCCAGCCTGGGCAACAGATTCTGTCTCAAAAAAAAAAAAAAAAAAAAGACTCAAACCATGAGGAAGAAAGGTAGTGAAAAGGCCATGAAGTAGAGTACGGGAAGGCTGAAGTTACAGGGAAGTAGGAAATAGAAGTAAACAAGCAGAAGCTATAGATAGAAAAAAACCACACACATATATATATTTATTTATGGAGTAAAGGTGAGGAGTAAACAAGGTAGAGGGAGGAGAAGGAAGAAGATGTGAAGAAAGTAGGAGAAACACGTGAGTGATGTTTGCATTAAGACAGTGGTCCTTTGCTAGTGTTATCTTGGATTCCAAATAACTTTTCAGTTACTGTTTTTCTGATATGAGGTCCAGCTCTCCTAGAGTTTTGCTCTTCTTCTGGCTGGATAGTTATCTATATCTTAGTTATTAGGCACATGTGCTCTTATGCTAAAACACCTGTTATTTAAGATAACTCAAATGGATTTCTTTCCCTTAAAATTATTAGGTTGGTGCAAAAGTAACTGCAGCTTTTGCCGTTATAATTGCAAAACTGCAATTACTTTTGCACCAACCTAATACAAGAGCTTAAAGAGAGTAAGTTCAGAATTGAAAAGACATGGTTCAGAAGCAGCAAGTGTTAAAGACAAAAAGGCTTTAAGATTCTGATAGCAAAATCTCAATATGTTAATCAATTAGTTTGGCCATTTACTCATTCAACAAACATCTATTGAATATCTACTATGTGCCAGGTACTATTAGGGGTGCTAGGGATATATTAACGGCTAAGACTCAGTCTTTGCTCTAATGAAGCTTAATTCCAGTGACTTAGACCATAAACAAATGATCACACAGATAATGTATAATGTGCTGAATGCCATGACAAAGCAGGATAAGGAGATGGAATGTGACGGATGTGAGTGGCAATGTTAGATAGTGCAGTTAAGAAGGCTCAGCTGGGCATGGTGGCTCACCACCGCCTGTAATCCTAGTGCTTTGGGAGGCCAACGTGGGGAGATCATGAGGTCAGGAGTTCGAGACCAGCCTGGGCAACATGGTTAAACCCTGTCTCTACTAAAAATACAAAAATTAGCTGGGCGTGGTGGCATGCACCTGTAATCCTAGCTATTCGGGAGGCTGAGGCAGGAGAACCGCTAGAACCCAGGAGGCAGGGGTTGTAGTGAGCTGAGATCACGCCATTGCACTCCAGCTCTGGGTGACGGAGCAAGACTCTGTCTCGAGAAAAAAAAAAAAAAAAAAAAAGAAGGCTCTCAGAATTGGTGACTTTTGGTTGCTGTTGTTGTTTTATTGAGACAGAGTCTCACTCTGTTGCCCAAGCTGGAGTGCAGTGGCGTGATCTTGGCTCACTGCAACCTCCGCCTCCTGGGTTCAAGCAATTCTCTTGCCTCAGCCTCCCGAATAGCTGGGAAAACAGGCATGCGCCACCACGCCCGGCTAATTTTTTTTGTATTTTTAGTAGAGACAGTGTTTCACCATGTTGGTCAGGCTGATCTTGAACTCCTGACCTCAAATGATCCATCGCTTTGGTCTCCCAAAGTGCTGGGATTACACGTGTGAGCCACCATTCCCAGTCGACTTTTGAATAGACACTTCCACGGGGTCAGGGGATATGCCATGCAATTACTACACCTGGCATATTGTTTTCATTTCAGATTGTCGCACATCAGTTAGAATATGAATTGTAGCTTTCTCAAATGAGATTTAAAAAGAAAAAGGAACCCAACGCCATGTCATATGAAAAAAAGTTCAAGACATTGGCAATGTTTAGCCTGGAAGAGACAGAGCTTAGGAGGAATGTGATGGATTCCTTCAAAATCTTTAAGGACTCTGTGGAAGAAGGACTAGATTTGCTCCTTCTGGACTATAGGGTAAACATTACGGGGAGATATCAATTGGCTGATCAAAGGTGAAATCTTTTTCTTTTTTTAGGTATAGAAAGATTGATCACTCGACAGTGAGATTATGGAGGGGCTAGGAGGGTCAGGCAAACAGACTGGATGACATAGGATTCTTTCTGAAAGACTGATTCTATGACCTTTAGTAATGATATAATTATTACTTCACAACATCCCATTCCATGGCCTTCTCATTAAGGAGAATGGAATGTGGATGAGGTAGCCATCTCCAAGAAAGGAAGGTAAAGTCCCAGGGATCTATTTCCCAATTTATTGCCAAATGTTTAGTTTCCCAAGGACTTCACTGGTTGAATCCTTCCCCAAAGCGGGTAACTTTCTCTGCCATTCACTTCCAAGGACCAGTAGGCAAATTTAATCAATTACTTAGGAAACTGAACAGGCTTTGGACAAGTAATCTGTCCATGAAAAGAGTGTTTTCCCTCCCAGGGAATGGCTTCCTCTGATTCTGGTTTCTGAGTTCCCACTTTCCCCTCTGACAGGTTTTGTTGCATCATTGTAGGGGAATTGGAACTTAGTCCAGGAACTCGGTCCAAACTTAAAATCCCAAGAGACTCAGCTTACTCCCTTACTCTTCTTCCCTCGTTTCCCTACAGGAGAGTCATCATCAGCACAAACCCACTGAGAATCTCTGGCTGCCCCGCATGCCTCAGAAAAAAAAGTTAAGATCTAAGTTGAAACCAATCTTCCCTTTGACACTGTCGGACGATCCTACATCCAAGAGAGAACAATGGTTTAGGTGAAATCTTGCTTCTTCTTGTACTCACTTTCTTTCCTATCTTTTCCCTATTCCTGTTTCTGCTCTAAAAGGGAAGTCTGTGTGTCTTAGAGGTATAAAAGTCTCTGGGATTGGGGTAGGGAATGGGGTAGAAGGGGCTTGGAATAAATTTAATGACATACTCTTTGGTTGTACAACTGCATGATAAGAAGATACAACTTCCCCTACATGACCCTAACCTCACTTACACTCGAATCAAAGAGAAACAGTCATGCAAAACCAAGGTTTTGCATTAGCAATGGTTTCAAGATTGAGGGGAAATATTCCAAGGTCTGTGCTTTGAAGAAACAGAAAAAAAAGAAAAAGAAAAAAAGTACCCTCAGTACAAGTTAGGCACTATATCACAGGAACAATGTGCTATGAGAACACATTAGACAAAAGAGGTTTTATTTGAAACTACTTACAAGAGCAGCCTATGTGTAGTTTAGAGAGGAGAGAAGGGGGAGATTCCGGAGTTCCTCCAAAGGTTTATTTACAGTCCTAAGTTCAGAAGCATCCCTTGCCATGGAACAATACTCCTACTTGGCACCAATCAACAGCCTCCTATCATTGTCTTCTCTTCTCTGAGAATGTAGCCAACTTTAAAGTGAAGGCCGGGCACGGTGGCTCATGCCTATAATCTCAGCACTTTGGGAGGCCAAGGTGGGCAGATCACTTGAGCTCAGGAGTTCAAGACCAGCCTGGTCAACATGGTGAAAACCATCTCTACTAAAAATACAAAAATTAGCCAGGCGTGGTGGCAAGTGCCTGTAATCCCAGCTACTTGGGAGGCTGAGGCAGGAGAATTGCTTGAACCTGGGAGGCAGAGGTTGCAGTGAGCCAAGATCATGCCACTGCACTCCAGCTTGGGTGACAGAACAAGACTCGTGTCTCAAAGTAAATACATAAAATAAAATAAAGTGAATGGTTCCATGAATCTGCCCGCCCTAGGATCTACTAAACAAAGAACTTTCTTTGTTAAGGTTTTCCACCGACAATGATTTCAAGAGCGAAGGGAAGTATTCAAAAGTCTACGCTTTGAGGACGCAGAAAAAAACGTACCCTCAGCTCACCTTTGCTCCAGTCCATGAGAGAGGTATGAAGAAAGACGGTAAGCTTCTCTCTTTCAAAGCAAAGGCTTACTGGACTGAGATGTGGGCTGGAGATACAATCCATGAGGATTATAGATGTGGCAAACTGGCTTCTCTCGTGGTAGTCCTGGAGACTATTTTTCCCTATAGCATGGAAGCTAATAACAAATAGAGGCTCAAGAGGTGCAAAGCTTCCGACCCTGTTTAAATCCTCAAATTTCAAGAAAACTCTAGTAGTGTTTACTAAGCTATATCACCCAGCACTTTAAGAGTTTTTGCCACATTGATGTAGTATTTGCTCTGTTAATTTACTTAGCATTTTTCTTCAAAAGGATTTAAAAAAATTCTTGTCCTAATTAATACTATATCATTGACATCATGGTTTTGATGTACAAATTATATGTTTTTCTGAAACACTTAAGTCAAATTTATAATAATGAAATTTAAAAACGTTTATCTATGTATCACCTAGAACCAGCCAGTGGTATGCATATTATACTTTGAAGAAAAAACTGCTCTAAAAGGGCCAAAGGATAAGTCTGTGTGTCTTAGAGGTATACAAATCTCTGGGATTGGGGTAGGGAATGGGGTAGAAGGGGCCTGGAATAAAGTTGTATGGCAGAGGGTACAATGAGAATCCTCCTCATGTATTATCATTTATTTAACAGTATTTCTAGGGTTCCTACTAAGTGTTAGACATTTATCAAGCACCAACAATAGCACTTTCAATATGTGAAAGAGATGAAACAGATTATAAAAGGCCTTGAGAGGCTGGGGGTGTCTGTAATCCCAGCAGTTTGTGAGGCTGGGGCAGGAGGACTGCTGGAGGCCAGGGGCTTGACCCTAGCCTGAGCAACATAGTGAGATCCTGTCTCTACAAAAAATTAATTTTAAAAAATTAACAGGGTGTGGTGGCATGCACCTGTAGTCTGAGCTACTTGGGGGGCTTGAGGAAGGAGGATCGCTTGAGCCAAGGAGTTTAAGGTTGCAGTTAGCTGTGATTGTACCATTGCACTCCAGCCTGGGTAACACAGTAGACCCTGTCTCAAAAACGAACAACAATAACAAAACATAAATAACAAAGATAACAATAACAAAATATCAAAAATACCACAATGCCTTAAAAATTATTTAAATAAGGGTTTGGATTTTATTCAGTAGGCAGTTTGGACCCAATGAAGAATTTCAGGGCACTGAGTACACATTCGTGATTAGATACATAATTGGTGAGTCCTCAGACTTCACCAGCTCATGGTTTTAAGACAAGGTTCATTTCTCCTACTAGCTTTCTCTCCTCAAGCAATTTCTGAGACTCCCTAAAGCATCCTTGCCTTTCCCACAAAGCCATTGTAGTGATTGCTCAACCCCTTTGCCAGCCATCCTCAGTCCAAATAGTCCTGATACCAGAGACCTGGAGTCATATTATACCATCCCTTAACTGGCTTCTTCAGGCTTCTCTGCTCCTGCTATAACTATTTGCCACCACACCCCACCCCACCCCATTTTCACCTACTACTGCTCTTAATTCTGTAAACACTGCACAGCTAAAACCAACCTGTGGTATTAAACAAAACTTCATAGATACACAGAAAAGCTGAAGAGAACAGTAGAGAATGATTTATCTTGCTTTACAAGGGGCTAGTCTTAGGGTCAGCTTCAAATGTGAACTCAGGTCCTTCTACTTCCCAGCAGGTCTCCGGGGTATTACCCATTCTTGGGAACCTCTGGGCCTATTATCTACACTGTGTCTGCCTAGGTTCCCAATACTCTTGGGCCAAGGAAGAGGAAGAGGATGTTTCCTTCCCCAAAGCCTATTTATTTTCACCTCCAGAATAAATGCGTGCAGACTTCTATTTCCTTCAAGGAAAACTCCACCTACAAAGTATGACTTGAACTTTACAAGCCATATAAAGCAAACATAGTAGTTAATAATAGTACATTTAGCCAAGCCGGAGGTAAATCTTAAATGATACCATATGTAGGATATCAACAGTTCATCTTAAATCTATATTTAAGGGAAAGAATTTCCCTAGGATGTAGAATATAATCTAGGTTAGAATTTCTCTAATTTTGCAGGGGCACGATCCTGTTGAGTATAGACTCAATTTACATTTCTAAACAGTAATGCCACTGAAGCCAAAGGCAAAGTTTCTTAGCCACACTCTTAGACAAGAGAACAGAAAGCCAGCATACACTCAGAAAGAGGAACATGAGTTAGGAATGAATGCACGTTAATTTAGAGAGTTTCTTAAGCGTCAATATAGTGTCAGACGGAATCATTGAAAGAAGTAGGCTTGAACAAAGAAGGCTCTAAACAGGCAGTGTGTTTTACACTGGGTTTTGATGAAATGAAGGAATCCAAAAATTATAAAATAGGTTGGGAATGGTATTACACGGTCCGAAATCTTTAAAGACCAGCCTTTAAAGGTCCCTTCAAGTGGGTCTCCTTCACATCTCACATTAAGCATCCTTCGAGTACTTCTGAAAAGCCACGTTCACCAGGGTGCCTGTGCTTTGTCGTAGCTTCCAAGAAGTCAGCGAGTGAAAGGCCGATTTCCAAGGTGATTCGGGAACCACTGACACTCGCATCGCTCCTGGAAGAGATGCCCACCAGAACCGCGCCCGGGGAGAGCGCCTTCCGCAACGGGAGGGCCCCGCAGTGGATTATCAAAAAGGCCACGGTCATCGGGTGAACACAGAACCCTCAGTCCTCCCGCCTCGCTCTCCTGAGACTGAGGGGTCCGCAGAGGTCGCCAACCAAATAAAACCACATTCCTGCTGCTGCGGGCGTGGGCTCCCGGGTCACGGGCCGGGAGGGTCTGGCCGAAGCCTCCGGCGGCTGCGGAAGCAGGAGAGGGCGTGGTTGCGTCCCCGGGGGACGAGGGAGGCCGGGGAGGGCGGGCCTTGGCCCCGAGTGACGGCGCGGCGGCCCAACCGGCGTGAGAGCGCGGGGCCGGCCTTCCTGCAGCCTCTTCCGCTCTCCGGCTGCGGCGCCTGGGACGGTTGCGGTGGGTCTGGGCTTTGGGAAGTCGTCCAAGATGATTAAAAAATTCGACAAGAAGGACGAGGAGTCTGGTACGCGCGGGGCTTCCGAGGCCCACCCTCAGCCGCGGGACGCCCCTTCCCCCGCCCGCCGCCACCTGCTCTCGGGCCGGCGGGGCTGGGGGCGTGGGCGCCGGCGTGCCAGGGGGCCGGAGCTGGAGCCGGCCCCTCCCCTCCCCTCGCGGCCGCCGGGGGCCTGCCCGTAGCCCCTCCCCCAGGCGCCGGAGCCTCCCTTCGGGCCGCGCGCTCCCGCCCCGGCGCCCGCGCGCGCCCCGTTCCTGCTGCGGCGCATCCGCTCCGAGCCGCCTCCGCCCCTTCGCGCGGGCCCCCGGCGGGGGCGAGAGCGTGCGCGCGTCTCCGCGGCCAGGGGTACTGGTAGGGTCTGACCCCGAGTGGGAGCACCCTGTTCCCGGGGCTGGGGTCGACGGCACAGGGTGTGTGTGTGGAGGAACATTCAGGTGCCTGGTACCTTATCGTTTTCCTGGGACCCCTGGCTCTGTCCGGTTCCCCGGGGGCAAGACTGTGCCTTGGGACACAGCTCGTTGAATGCTCAGGCGTCCAGAAGTGACCTGCATCTTGATACCCGTCTTTGGTCCAGAGCAAATGGGGAAGATGCCAAGCATCCTCAAAAAGAAAAAAATCCCAGTGTTTGGTAGCATCTCCCACGGTGTGAGAGGGGGTTGGGTTAATCAACCTCCACGACCTCTTGAAGGTTTACGTCTGCATAATTCTCTGGGAAACTTCGTTTCTGCCTCTCCTTAAGTGTTAGAAACACACAAACTAGTGCTTACCTAAGGAAATCAAAAGCACCCTACCACAATCTCATTAATCTTCGTTGTGGAAATGACACATTTGTAACATTCATGGAAAAAGGGCAGGGAAAGAAGACACTCATTTTGGAGAGGGTTACTGCAAAAGAGAAGTCTCAGCTCTTCGAGTGTGGCAGTGACGGAGCCAGGATCAGAATGATTTCATTCAGTTTGTATGCATATTAGCAATGATTATCACTGTGCCATCCAAGTGTTCACTTACCAGGCATTCAGTACCCTTCTCTGGAAAATACATAAGTTTGTGTAAAACAGCTATTCAGGACATTTTTTTGTTTTATACATAGGTAGTGGCTCAAATCCTTTCCAGCATCTGGAGAAGAGTGCTGTTTTACAGGAGGTATGACTGGGAAGCATTTTGTGCCTTTTCTTTTGTATTCTGTTTTAGAGTGGTGGGCAGCGAATTCCTGGGCTACTGTGATCACAACACCCAAAATAAGGAACGTAACAGAGTTTAGGGAATATAGATTTAAGGGAAAAGGAAGAGGGGTTACTTGTCACACGAGAATTTAGAGCTTATAGAAATGCAAAGACATGAAGACTGTCACAGGTTGGGAATTTTAAATGTAAGAAGAGGTGTTTAGTGCAAGGTTATTGAAATCAGTTATCTGTATTAATGCCATTGTATTAGTATGATACAGATCAGTATTGTGATCCTTATTTAACTGGTATAGCCCATAAAGTTGAGTTAGTCAACCTAAGGGAATGAGTTAGAAAGTATAGGATGGAAAATCAAGGCCACATGTAATAATTTATCAGATGCTTTAGTAAATTGAGAACTATAGACCATGTTCTTTGGATACTGTGATTAAAAATAGTCTGTATTAAAGTTGATTTGCTATAATCTGTGATACAAAAGGTAGAAAAATAACAGTGTTTTTTATGTTTTTTCATAGGCTCGTATATTCAATGAAACTCCTATCAATCCAAGAAGGTGTTTGCATATTCTTACGAAAATTCTTTACTTACTAAACCAGGTAAATTACTTTTATTTTCCTCAGATAAGTGTGTCCTGGAATAGAAATACTGAAGATTCAATGAAATACTTTCTGGAAAGTGTAAATATTTATTTATTTTAAATTCACTTAATTTTAACATATATAACGTTTGGTTAACAAAATAATATGTAAGACTTGAGTATGAGAACTATGACATATATAGGTTGAGTATACCTTATTTGCAATGCTCCGAACCAGAAGTGTTTTAGATTTCAGATTTTTTTGGATTTTGGAACATTTGCAGAATACATACTGGCTGTTCCTACTCTGAGTATCCGAAATCCAAAATGCTCCAATGAGTGTCTCCACTGAGTGTTATACTGGCACTCAAAAAGTTTCTGATTTTGGAGCATTTCAGATTTTGGATTTTGAGATTAGAGATGTTTAACCTGTACTTCTTTTTCATTCTTGAGATCCTAAACTAGTGATGCACGTAGTAGATTCTCAATAAATCCTTTGGTTTCAGTTTAATGAGTACTAGTTAGAACATATTGTTTACATGTGTTTGGAGATCTTCATGTTTTTCTGAAAATACAGTGCAAGATCAGGCAAATTCCAGGTATTTTCTTTCTTTTGTGTGTAATCATGATGTTTTAAAGCTTTGATTTTTAATATTCAGATTTTATATTTATTATCCCTACCTCACCATTGCTATTAAAATAGTTCTGGGCAGTATGTGCCTTGATGTCCTTTTCTCTACATGGGGATTATGATAATACCTGTTACAGAGTTGTAACGACTAAATGAGATCATTAGTGTAAAGCACTGGGAATAGTACTGAACACATAGTAAGCATTCAGGAATAGTTTTCCTTCCATCATTCAGCAAATATTTATTGCATAGCTGCTGTGTCCTGTGCACTGTTTTAGGTGTTGGGGATATAGCAGACGAAACCAGCAAAAAATATTTGCACTCATGAAATATAGATTCTGCTTGCTATTATTGTTATTAATTTTCTTTTTCTTTTTTTTTGCCCCAGACTTTAAAAAAAAAAACTCATGTAATGTCTAGGGTCTTAGAAAATATGATTTTGTTTCATGGATTCATATTCCCTCAGTAACAGTGGGGAATTGGTTCCAGGACCTCCGTTGAATACTAAAGTCCATAGATGCTCAAGTCCCTCATACAAATGGTGTAGTATTTGCATATAACCTACACATATCCTCCCATATATTTTAAGTCATCTCTGTGATTATAATACCTAGATTATAATCTCTAGATTATAATACCTGGTACAATGTTAGTGCTGTGTAAATAGTTGTTGTGCTGTATTGTTTAGGGAATAATGACAAGAAGAAGACATCTGTACATGTTCAGTACAAACCCAGTTTTTTTTTTCCTTGAATTTTTTTTTGAGGTCTGTTATAACTTTATTGATTTTATTTTTGCTTATCTTTTTTTAATTATTATTATACTTTAAGTTCTAGGGTACATGTGCACAACATGCAGGTTTGTTACATGTGTATACATGTGCCATGCAGGTGTACTGCACCCATTAACTCGTCATTTACATTAGGTATATCTCCTAATGCTATCCCTCCCCCCTCCCCCCTCCCCACAATAGGACCTGGTGTGTGATGTTCCCCTTCCTGTGTCCAAGTGATCTCATTGTTCAATTCCCACCTATGAGTGAGAGCATGCAGTGTTTGGTTTTCTGTTCTTGCGATAGTTTGCTGAGAATGATGGTTTCCAGCTGCATCCATGTCCCTACAAAGGACACGAACTCATCCTTTTTTATGGCTGCATAGTATTCCATGGTGTATATGTGCCACATTTTCTTAATCCAGTCTGTCACTGATGGACATTTGGGTTGATTCCAAGTCTTTGCTATTGTGAATAGTGCTGCAATAAACATACGTGTGCGTGTGTCTTTGTAGTAGCATGGTTTATAATCCTTTGGGTATATGCCCAGTAATGGGATAGCTGGGTCAAATGGTATTTCTAGTTCTAGACCCTTGAGGAATCGCCACACTGTTTTCCACAATGGTTCAACTAGTTTACAGTCCCACCAACAGTGTAAAAGTGTTCCCATTTCTCCACATCCTCTCCAGCACCTGTTTCCTGATTTTTTAATGATTGCCATTCTAACTGGTGTTAGATGGTATCTCATTGTGGTTTTGATTTACATTTCTCTGATGGCGAATGATGATGAGCATTTTTTCATGTGTCTGTTGGCTGCATAAATATCTTCTTTTGAGAAGTGTCTGTTCATATCCTTTGCCCACTTTTTTCCTTTTCAATCTGAGGCTGGTTGAATCCACGGATTCAGAACTCATGGTTATGGAGGGCTGACTGGAGGGCTGACTATATGTGTCTATACACGTATAGAGGGACACATAAAACATACATATATGCCATATACCTCAGGTGGTTTACATATGGTGCTAGGATAACCATGGTTTCCAATTTGAATTCTAAGAGAATATTTTATCTTTACTTTGTTTTGTGACTGAAGACCTCATTCAGAGATTTAATAAAGTTTTCTTGTTTACAAATGAGGACTAAACAATGAGCACATAGTTTGTTTTTTTATTTTTTTGAGATGGAGTCTTGCTCTGTCACTGGGCTGGAGTGCAGTGGTGTGATCTCGGCTCACTACAAGCTCCACCTCCCTGGTTCAAGCGATTCTCCTACTTTAGCCTCCCGATTACAGGCGTGTACCACCATGCCTGGCTAATTTTTGTATTTTTAGTAGAGACGGGGTTTCACCATATTGGCCAGGTGGGTCTCCAGCTCCTGACCTCAGGTGATCTGCCCACCGCAGCCTCCCAAAGTGCTGGGATTACAGATGTGAGCTACTGTGCCCGATCATCAAGCGCATAGTTTTAAATAAAATATATCTGTTCACAAACAACATAATCCCTCTGTGTCGGCGTATAAGAAACATTTAAAGCATAGTCAGTTGGGTTTAACTTTTCGTAGCACACGTTGTGTCCAAGTTGGCTAAATCCATTGTATAAACAAAAGTTCTGAATGGTCAAAGTTGATTGAGAGTAACATATATTTTTATGTTGGTCATTACCTTTTCGATGAAGCAACTCATGTTGAAACATTTAATTATCTTGATAAGGAGATTACCAAGCACAGCATAAACACAATTAACTATATAAACAAGTTTGGGAACATACATTTTATCTTTACCTAGTCCTTGGTAGAGCTTTATAGAAAGATACTTTTGAATTTCTGTGAGAGTT